CCAACTAAAAATGGGTAAAAATCCTGGCCAGGTAGCTCAGTTTGTTAGCACATCTTTCTAATATACCAAGGTCACAGGTTTGATCCCTAGTCACAGTTTGATCCCTGGTAGGGCACATACAAGAATCAACCAATGAATGCATAAATAGGTGAATCAACTTATTTATCTCTCTATCCTACTCCTCTTTCTCACCTTTCATCTCTCTCAAATCAATTTTTTAAAATGGGCAAATGCACTGGCTGGTTCACTCAGTGGTTAGAGCATTGGCCCATGGATGGAAGGGTTGGGGGTTCAATTCTTGATCAAGAGCATGTACCAGAGTTGCAGGTTTGATTCCTGGCCCTGGTTGGGGTCATGCATGAGGCAACGAATCGATGTGTCTCTCTAACATCAATGTTTCTCTCTCTCTCTCTCCCTCCCTCCTTCCACTCTATCTAAAAATTAATAGGAAAATATTCTCATGTGAGGATTAACCAAGAAAAAAAAAAAGGTCAAATAACCTGAATAAACTCTTTTCCAAGGAGAACATATGGATTGCCAATAGACATATGAAAATATATTCAATGTCACTAATCATCAGAGAAATGCAAATTAAAACCACAATAAGATACTACCTCACACCTGTCATAATGGCTATCATCAATAAATCAACAAACAACATGTATTGGCAAGGATATGCAGAAAAGGGAACACTTATACACTGTTGGTGGGAATACAGATTGGTGCAGCCACTATAGAAAGTGGTATAGAGTTTCCTCAAAAAATTTGAAAACAAAAGAAGTAAAGGACCTATTTTCAGAAAACTACAGGACATTGAAAAAAGAAATAGAGGAAGATATAAAAAAGTGGAAGCACATACCTTGTTCATGGATTGGAATAATTAACATCATTAAAATGTCCATACTACCCAAAGCAATCTATAGATTCAATGCAATCCCCATCAAAATACCAATGACATATTTCACAGAACTAGAACAAATACTTCAAAAGTTCATATGGAACCAAAAAAGTCCCCGAATAGCCACAGCAATTTTGAAAAAGAACACAAAGTAGGTGGGATCACAATACCAGATATCAGGTTCTACTACAAAGTGACTGTAACCACAACAGCCTGGTACTGGCACAAGAACAGGAGTATAGACCAGTGGAACAGAACTGAAAACCCAGAAATAGACCCTAGGCAATATGCTCAATTAATATTTGACAGAGGTGGCAAGAGCATACAGTGGAGTAAAGACAACCTCTTTAATAAATGATGTTGGGAAAATTGGACAGCTACATGCAAAAAATATGAAACTAGACCATCAACTTACACCATACACAAAAATAAACTCAAAATAGATAAAAGACTTAAATGTGACCCGTGAATTCATAAAAATTCTAGAAGAAAATGTAGGCAACTAAATTTCGGATTATACGCAGCAGAATTTTCACTGACACATCACCTAAGGCAACAGAAACAAAGGAAAAAATGAACACATGGAACTACATCAAACTAAAAAGCTTCTGCACAGCAAAAGAAACAGTCATCAAAATGGAAAGCAATCTGTATGGGAGAACATCATTGCCAATGATATATCAGATAAGGGGTTAATTTCCAATATATAGAGAGTGCTCATACAACTCCACAAAAGGAAGACAAAGAACCCAATTAAAAAATGGGCAGAGGAGCTGAATAGACACCTCTCCAAACAGGACATACAAATGGCCAAGAGACATATGAAGAAATGCTCAACATCACTAATCATCAGAGAGATGCAAATTAAAACAATGAGGTATCACCTTACACCTGTCAGAATGGCCGCCATCAACAAATCATCAAACAACAAGTGTTGGCAAGGTTGTGGAGAAAAGGGGACTCTAATACACTGCTGGTGGGAATGCAGACTGGTGCAGCCACTATGGAAAACAATATGGTGTTACCTCAAAAAATTAAAAATTGAACTGCCATTTCACCCAGTGATCAACTCCTAAGAATATACCCTAAGAAGCCTGAAACACCAATCAGAAAGAATATATGTACCCCATGTTCATAGTAGTACTATTTACAATAGCTAAGATCTGGAAACAGCCCAAGTGTCCATCAGTAGACGAATGGATAAAAAAGCAGTGGTACATATACACTATGCAGCTGTAAGAAAGAAAGATCTCTTATCCTTCTAGACAACATGGAAGGACCTGGAAAGTATTATCCTAAGTGAAATAAGCCAAGCAAAAAATGACAAATACCACATGATCTCACTTATTTGTGGAATATAATGAACATAACAGTCTGAGGAATACGGTAGACCCAGAAACATGGAAGTAGGGCACAGACTGACATCCCTCAGAAGAGGGGGTGGGAGGGTGGAAGGAGCTAAACCACAGAACTTATATGCATGTATACATGACCAATGGACATGGACAACAAAACTGGGGACGGGGTGGGAGTGGGGTGGCGAGGGAGGTGCCATTGGGGTAAAAAAGGAGAAACATCTGTAACAAAAAAATAAATAAAAATTTTTTTAAAAAAAAGAAAAAAAATTTAAAAAGAAATTGCCTTATGACCCAGGAATTCCACTTTTTGAAATATATCCAAAGAAACATGAAACACTAATGTGAAAGAATTGCAGTGCTATTTACAATAGGCAACACTTGGAAGCAGCTCATGTTCATCAGTAGATGAGTGGCTAAAAATGCTGTAGTTCATTTATACTATGGAATACAATGTGGCGGTAAAAAAAAATTAAGGAAATCTTTCCTTTCACAACAGTATGGATGGACCTGCAGAATATTATGCAAAGTGAAATAAGCTAGTCAGAAAAAGATAAAAACCATATGATTTCACTTATATGTGAAATCTAAAAATAAGCAAACAAACAAACAAAAACAGACTCATAGAAACTAAAACCAAAGGGATAGTTTCCACAAGGGAGGGGATGGGAGATAGATAAAAAGATGAAGAGAATATAGTCAATAACATTGTGATAAGTTTACAGTGGCAGAGGATTACTAGAATTAGTGGTGTGATCACATTGCAAGGTATAAAAATGTTGAATCGTCCAGCAGGTGTGGCAGAGTGGTTGAGCATTGACCCATGCACCAAGAGGTCACCAGTTCAATTCCTTGTCAGGACACATGCCCAGGTTGTGGGCCCAATCCCCAGTGGGAGCATGCAGGAGGCAGCCAATCGATATTCTCTCTCATTGATGCTTCTTTCTCTCTCCCTCTCACTTCCTTTCTCTCTAAAATCAATAAAGGAAAAAAAAACTTTTTTTAAATGTTGAATCACTATATTGTACACCTGAAACTAATATAGCCCATATATGATTATATACCAACTATACTTAAATAAAATATTAAATTATAAAATATTTTAAAATAAATAAGACTGATAAATTGTTGTTGTTGTTGTTGTTTTATTTTAAGTGTGAAATACATATGTTATTCAGCCATAGGAAGGAATCAAATTCTGACACATGCTATACATGGATGAATCTAGAAAACATTACACTTGGTGAAATAAGCCAGGCACAAAAGGCCAACTATTGTGTGAATAGATTTATATGAGGTACCTACAAATAGTCAAATTTATAGAGACAGAAAGTAGAATGGTGGATACCAGGGGAGGGAGGAAGGATTAACATTTTAGTACATTGGAATATATTAACAGTTTTTATGTCTGTACTGAGTAATAAATTGATATGTATGGGGTTGACAACATACATTTGGAAATATTTCACTGGAAGTTTATCTGTCCTTTTTTCTTTCTGTATATTAAAAGAAAAAATTCAATTATAAGTTTTCATGCTTGAGTCATTTGTTGTAGCGTTTTATTTTTAAAGTGCTTGAATTTCTAAGTCCTTACCTTTTGAATTGCGCTGATTCTCTTAAGAAATCCTTACTCCTCCAACACCATCAAAACATTTTCATATATTATCTCCTCAAATATGTAGTCACTTGTACTTTCGTGTTTAAGGTATGGGTATATCAGAGTGATTTTTGTTTGGTTTTGGTCTAGAAATATATTGTCAGTTTCGATTCCTTTTCTTGAAAGATTTTTATTGTGATAAAATATGTATAACATAAAATGTCCCATTTCAGGCATTTTCAGTGTACAATTTCATAGCATTAAGAACATTCACAATGTTGCATGACAATCACAAGCATGCATATCAGGACCTTTTATCATCCCAAACAGAAACTCTGTACCCATTAAACAATTACTCCACATTTTTATTCTCTCCTCATAGCTTTCAGAAGGAACCCAATAATTTTTTATTTTAGTCCAATGTAGCTGATTTCAGAATTCTGGCCTCCAGTACTTCAGGAGAATACATTTTTGTTATATTAAGGTTCTAAGCTATGGTAATGTGTCACAATGACAACAGGAAACTAATACAGAGCACATGTTCCAGTTCAGGCTGATATTTTTAAATATGTCTCTGGAGGTGTCCTTGGAAAGATTATGTCTGCATGACAAAGAGACCCAAAAGGAGGCAGTTAGTTTTCTGAAATGTCCCTGCACTATTGCAGGTGCAGGTGACCATCAGGGGAACAGCCTTAGGAAGAAGCCAGCACATGGCTAAGTGAACTGCAGCCCTGTGGTTCTGTGCCTGGACCTACCCGATCTCTAAAGTCTTTATTATGGAAGATACTTGTTTTTGTCATTTGACCCTATTGGAATTGAGACTTTTGCCTTATTACAGCTGAAGGCATGGATTCTCATAGATGAAAATGAAACATCTCAAATCTTCCCAACATGTAAACTACTGTAATTATGCCAATTTTATAGGTGAGGAAACCAAGCTTAGAGAGTTGAAATAAATTATCAAACACCACAGAGCTAAGGTATAACAGAGGTAGGATTCATACTCAGAGGGGCTGATTCCAAAATTGACATCCTTAACCAGGGATCTCTGGTGTGGGTATTCAAGGAATTTGGATGGATTTCGTGGATCTCTCGTTATTTATTTATTTTTGTCATATTTCATCTGTGTATGCCCAAAACAGCTGACATATCAATGCAAAGATGGTACTCTAGAGATGAGCTTCCTCAAAGCCCCTATCATGTCCTTGTTCCTCAGACTGTAGATAAATGGGTTCATCATAGGCGTGACCACTGTATATATTACCGATACTATCGCACTTTTCCTGGAAGAATGTGTACCTGAAGAACTAAGGTATACCCCAAAACCTGTCCCGTAGAACAAGGAAACAACTATTAAGTGTGACCCACAGGTGGAAAATGCCTTATACTTTCCACCGGCTGATGGGATTTTCAGGATGGAGGAGACAATTCGAGTATAAGAGAAAATTATCCCAGAGAGTGGAACAACACCCAACAGGCTGGTCACTACATACACAAAGATATTATTGATGAAGATATCAGAACAGGTGAGTTTGAGAATATGAGCTAATTCACAGAAAAAATGGGGAATTTTTGGGTCTGTGCAGAAGGATAGCCGCAGTGCCATCAAAGTGTGGAGCAGGGCATCCAGAACACTAGCAAGAAAGGACAGCAGGACCAGCAGCCCACAGAGTCGGGGGTTCATGATGACATTGTACCTCAGTGGATGGCAGATGGCCACAAATCGATCATAGGCCATCATTATCAGAATTCCATTTTCCAATCCAGCAAAAGTCAGGACAAAGCAGATTTGGGTGAGGCAACCTGCATAACTGATGGCTTGGCTCTGTGTCTGGATGTTCACCAGCATCTTTGGGATCGTGGTGGAGGAGAAACAGATGTCAACAAAGGACAGGTTGGAGAGGAAGAAGTACATGGGTGTGTGGAGGTGGGAGTCATAGATAATGGCCAGGATGATGAGCAGGTTGCCAAGCACAGTGACCAGGTACATGGACAGAAACAGGCAGAATAGGAGGGGTTGTAGTTCTGGATTCTCTGACAGTCCCAAGAGGAGGAATTCTGCAGTATTGGAATGGTTTCCTGATTTCATGGTGCTGATGGTCCTGATAGAAAAGATGGAGGTAACAAGAAAACACAACTTAAAAGAAACTTCCTTAAACTTGTGTGTATTTTGAGATCAAATCAGTTACAGATCTTTCCCCCTGCTTCTCTCTCTCTCTCTCTCTCTCTCTCTCTCTCTCTCTCTCTCTCTTCTTTCTTCTTCTTTCCTTGCTTTACGTTCCCACACAACCTACCTCTACACCAGCCTCTGTCTGGGATTTTATTGTCCATCTAGTCTTTATTGAGTAGGGGTACTTGGTGAGAAGAAAATGGAAATGAAACATTGTCCGCTCCCTTAGATTCCTCCAAGCAAATAATAATTCTAGAATAAAATTACTGAGGCTGTGTTCTAGAATACAGTTTAGGGAAAATACAGCCTGTGAGGCAAAATCCTGCCTACTGCTTATTTTTGTAAATAAAAGTTTACTGGAACACAGCCATTTGTTTATGTATTGTCCGTGTGGCTCATGTGCTACAACGTCTGAGTCGAGTACTTGTGGTAGAAGCCATGTAACCAAGAAAAACCTAAAATATTTACTGTCTGGCTCTTTCCTGAAAAGTCCACTTCCTTCTATCTAATCAAGAAGACTGATTAGACTCATGTTCAATTTTTGGCAAACAGCCTTCAGTATTTTCATGAGGAGGCACATGCTGTTGGCTCATCTTGTTTCTTGTAAGATTTATTGCCCGGATCCATTAATTCATCAGCAGCTACAAAGTGCTGATATCCTAATTATTTGTTCATTTATTGATTGAAATACTTTTATGAAAAAGAAACTTTATTCAAATAGGTGGTCATCGTGAGGTAGAGTTCCTATTTTTTTTTTTTTAATCCTCACCCAAGGACATTTTTCCATTTTTTGTTCAGACAGAGTGGGAGGGAGAGAGAGAGAAAGAAAGAGAAACATCAACGTGAAAGAAACACATCGAGTGGCTGCCACCCGCACGACCCAACCAGGGCCGGGGACAACTGCAACCGAGGTACGTGACCTTAGCGGGAACCGAATCTGGGTCTCTCTGGACCACAGGCCAACGCTCTAACAGCTGAGCCAAACTGGCCAGGGCAAGTTTCTATTTTATTATAAAAGCAGAATATACCTTGATTCATCACCTTTTCAAATAATAAATTGATTTTCAGCATTATCCAGAGATGAGCATTGTATCATAATGAACTCCTGGATTCTAAATGCATTTGATATATTTTTATTTATTACAGTTATTATTCGTACTGATTCTCAAATTATCCCATTGTTGGTCAGTGAAAGCCTCCTCAACTTGCCTCCTGGGTCCTTCTGAAATGAATTTAGCAGTCTCATATCTGCCTTAAATTTAGCATGAAAAAAATATTCTGTGCCCATCTTATGCCTCTTTAGTCCCAGGCCTGGAATCAGCCATTTTTCCAGGGAGCACTGATTCTTTTAAGTGATAAATGGCATCTAGATATCACAATCTGGACACTAAGGGGTTCTCAATGTTAATGGATTGTCATTGTTTCTTGTCCATTTTAGTAGGGGAGTCAGAAAATAAGTATTTTCAAACATTAGCTCATTTAATTCATAAAATCTAAAAATTATGTATCACTCTCACCCATTTATATTTGAGAAAAGTGTGCAAGAGGACATTGAGCTACAGCTAATGGGTGTATACAAAAATATGGCTAATGGGTGGCAGAGTTAAGAAGTGACTCCTGAGGTTAGGATTAGAAGATGCTGCCTGATCAAATAGAGCTTTGCATGGATCTGTCATGGGTCAGATGTATGTATGCATATAACTGATTGTAACAGACACTGGACCAGGGGTTCTGCTCCACATAGTCTTGCAGGGACCCATGCTGATAGGGGCTCCACAATCTTGTTGTTGTATCAATTGAAACATGTGTCCCTTTTAGGTTAATTTCCAATATATATAGAGTGCTTATACAACTCAACAAAAGGAAGACAAAGAACTCAATTAAAAAATGGACAGAGGAACTAAATAGACACCTCTCCAAATAGGACATACAAATGGCTAAGAGACATATGAAGAAATGCTCAACATCACTTATCATCAGAGAAATGCAAATTAAAACAACAATGAGGTATCACCTCACACCTGTCAGAATAGTCCCCTCAACAAATCATCAAACAAGTATTGCTGAGGGTGTGGAGAAAAGGGGACTCTAGTACACTGCTGGTGGGAATGCAGACGGGTGCAGCCACTATGGAAAACACTATGGTGTACCTCAAAAAATTAAAAATTGAACTGCCATTTGACCCAATGATCCCACTTCTAGGAATATACCCTAAGAAGCCTGAAACACCAATCAGAAAGAATATATGTACCCCCATGTTTGTAGCAGCACTATTTACAATAGCTTAGATCTAGACACAGCCCAAATGTCCATCAGTAGATGAATGGATAAAAAAGCTGTGATACATATACACAATGGAGTACTATGCAGCTGTAAGAAAGAAAGATCTCTTATCCTTTGAGACGACATGGAGGGACCTGGAAAGTATTATCCTAAGCGAAACAAACCAAACAGAGAAAAGACAAGTATCATATAATCTTACTTATTTATGGAATATAATGAACATAGCAGTCTGAGGAATGGGGTAGTCCCAGAGATGTGGAAGTGGGGTACAGACTGACAATCACCAGAAGAGGGGGTGGGGGGGAGAGATAAACCACAGAACTTATATGCATGTATGCATGAACAAAGGCCATGGACAAAAAAGCTGGGGACAGGGTGGGGAGAGCAGGGGAGGAGGGAATCAGTGGGGGAAACAGGAGAAACATCTGTAACAAAAATAAATTAATTAGTTAAAAATAAAATAAAATAAAAAGAAACATATGGCCCTTTTAGACATGAATGTGGTGATATAATTTGACCACAAATTCTTCAATACTTTTCCCTAACAACAGACAAAGAAATATGCTACAAAAATATATTTTTTTTTCTCTTCATTATTTGAAGGCTAAAATGCTCCTCGCTGAAGCTAGGGTAAAGCAATATTTTCCCATAACAGAACAGTGAGACAGAGAATGATATAGAGGGGGTCCTAAGGAAATAAAAGAAAATAATCATTGTATCACCTTCAGAGCCCTAGAGAGAAAGTATCTTTTAATTAGCTAACTCTGGTATCCAGGCCACTTAACAATTAGGTCACCAGAAAGGCTGATGAAGAGATAGAGAAATAGGGAAATAGCAAATACACCTGAATAATTACACTTTCAGGATAATGATGGGATTTACAATAATAAATACAGTGTTTGGCATAGTACATTCATAGCAAAACTTCAGTACTTTGTACTTATTTTCATGTTTGAGAGAAAAAATGAGGCACTTGATTTTGGAAGATTCTTACCTCTTCCTTGAGCCTCAGCATGTTGCTGCACAACCTCAATATCAATCTCTGCTCCGCAGGACACTGAACTTCATATGTATCATTACCCTGAAGGGTTTCACATGAGTAACGAAGATATAGCCATAAATAAACATTCTATTTATGTGACATTATAGACTACATGTTCATATTTGTTACACATGATATCATAGTCCGTATTTAATTCAGCAACTTTGTTTTGGGCTTAACATTGTGGTTCCTATATTTATCAGGATCGATACGAGCACTCTGGTTATTTAATTTAACATACGTTCTCACATCAGTGGACATTTCGGTTTGTTATACATTTTTTCTACAGTAGAGAACTATTTATAGAGACATATTCTCATGCAATAATAGTGTTAGAGTGAGCATGGCAAACGCCAACCAAATTCCACAGAGTGGCAATATCTGGGAGGGAAGAAGGAGAATAAACAATAATAAAGATGACTTTTCCATAATGACATGTTATCACTGTATGAAAGCAAAGAAAGGCTTATCTGTGTAGATTTTGGATGTCTGCAACTCAGTTAAAAAATAATAAAAATAAAGAAGACTTTGTATGTATGTTTAATACTTGATTGTTTTAAAAAGATGCCTGAAGTTAATATGGCAGAATTTCACTATGGTTGCATGCTGTTTATTTTACTGCTCATTTGTGCTGTTCTGGTGGTTTAAACTATTTACTTAAGATATTTAAAATAATGTTTTGTTTAAGGGGTTTTCAAAGAACGACTGAAAATGTAGACGATTGAATCTCAATCTCCAGTCTCAGAGTCCACACAGTAAAGAGATAGGGGTGAGACTTGAGTTCTCCTCTAGGAATGAAATCTGAACCAGATAAGAAAAAATTGAGATGCCAAACTCTCCCCACCCCTACGCTACTCAAGACCAAACAAGTGAGAGAAACCAGAGAATCATAGAATATCTGTTTGGTTTTTAAAGGGGCTAATTCATGCTCAGGTGTGGAAAGAGTGCCTGGAATTCAAGAGAGAATAGGAGTTAGATGTGATAAAAGCTGATTGCAAATTAGATGAAAAAGGGAAAGTAAATATATGAAGAGGACCAAAAATTAGTTTCAAATTTCACTTATAACTTAACTCTACTGAACCTTCTCTTACCTCTTGGATGTCCTCCAGATAGACTGGCTAAAAAAAAACTGTTCAATATCTCACAGCATTTCCTGGGGCACTTCAGATTACCTTGGAGCCATCAACGAGTAATTCACCTTTCCTCTGGAAACTGAAGCATAGATATGGGAAATACCTGTCCCCTGGAAGGGCAGGTGGGCCAAGTAAGATAACTGGGCTTCTGGGAAAGAAGGATCATCTCAGGAGACAGGGATGTGCTGTTTCTCAACCTGAATGGAGCTGTTGAGAGGAGTGGTCACAGGTAGACTATTTGTAGTCTCTCTGGTCTTCGGGGCTTAATTTCCAAAGCTCCTTATTAACAAAACGTGTACTGTCATTTCTTCACCCAAACAGTTTAAATCCTGAAGGAGCACAGCTCATAGAAGAGAATTTCTGGATGATTGATTACCTGACCCTGAGAATACAGGTGTATATGTCATTCTCTTCCTACAGGTTTCCTCTTACCTCCAGGGAATTTCACACTTGAGTTCTTGGGTGTGACCTTAAGGAAACTG